ACACCAAGTGAATTGGAAAGAAAATTTTGTACAACTCAGAAAATTAATTATATGTTGACAGAAAAATGTGTATGTATGAATTATATTATAGGTCAGTAAGAGATTTAGTGTACTTTTGAAAGCAATTTTATCTTCAGAATCCAGAGTTTTGTTTCAAAACTTTAGGTGGGTGTAGATTTTCTCAAATGTGTACTTGAAACCTTGGATTTCTGAACTTCCCTACAAGACAATGAAAGATTTGTTGTTCTACATTAATAAAACAGCATATTTATTCTAGACTTTTATGAAATAATTTTATGTATTATTCCATCCCCAAACATCCTGCAAAATACATACTTTCTAATTTCCCTAATCATTATTCTCTTGGTGAAAGCAGAGATTTTTCAAATACTAGGGTGTGCTCTTTGGTTTTATTAAGAATCTCTTGATAGGCAGTTGCTCATAATACCCAATCAAGTATGAGTAAAATATGCCAATGATGTTGCAGTACATGTTAAATTTCTTTATCTTGAAAGACAGTTAACAAAAGGATAGAAGCAAATGTCTACCATTAAGAAGACTAGAATATGCTTTCTTTACAACACATAAATAAATACAGAGAGCATTTAATATATGTTAAATATCCCATTTAGTTAATCTCATTTTGACAATGTTGGAAGCTGCTAATTTTGATATGTTATGGAATTTGGGTATGTCTTTATCTCCTTGTATTTTTCACTCAATGGAATATGATTATAGTCAATGTTCTTTTTGTTCCTTCCCATTCAGAAACATGCATATTTATAAAATTCTTAATGTCTATGAGGAATGAGTCAATAGCTGTCTATTTCAGGTGCCCCTGAAGAGCTGAGTATTTATGGAATAAATAGCCTACTATCACCACCCCCGCCTCCTCGTGAGATTATATAATAAAGTGGGTACTGAGAGCCAGCTAGAGTTAGTGGATTTACTGTCCATGTTTTCCTCTTTTTTGATGACATTGGCAGTTGTTTTTAGAGTATAATTGTCTATAATTTTGATCATTATTACTTCCATGTAATATTTAGGAGGCTTCTTTTGTAATGAAAGAAAAGACCTGTGAAATGACTTCTGCAAAGTTAACACAAGGTGGAAGGGAATTAGCTACAGAACCCTAGGCAAAGGTATGTTCCTTATATGCAAAGCCATTTTATAGCTCATTTTAGTCCAGATCAGTAACATCTATCATGGGCATGACATAATTTTATATTTTCATGTTGGCTTTGCAAATTTATACACCAGTCAGAGGTCTGTGGAGTACTCATGGCATATTAATGGGTATTTCTATCCAAGAGGACTTCCTAATACTTGAGTGCACAGGTAGAGATGATGTCACTGTGTGATTAAGGTGAGTTCCCAGGGTTCACAAAGTTAAGAACTAGAAATGGGGCTGTGCAGGGCCCTTCTGAAGCTGCTCACATTTAGGTGAGCACTTGAGACAAATTCAAAGTCCACGTTACTTGGCAATTAGTTCAGTTATGGGCCAGAAGGGATTGGTTTGGTATATTAAATCCCCAGATATGTCATTGACTGTCCTCATAATCGGTTTGCCTGGCTATTTGCTGTAATGACCTAGCTTTGAAGATGCTATTGGTGATTTTAACCTGGTTGAAAGCCCAGCCAGATGGGAACTGGTACCATTAGGTAAGGGGTAAATCATGCTCTATTTTAAAATCATTTTATTTTCTTTGAAAACTCCTTAATTATACTTTAATAGAAAATGCCTGATTTTGACAGGGGCTTCTTTTCCAGTGTGTGGCATGGGAGTTCATAGATTTATTAGTTTCTTACTGATTTTAAAGTCAGAGGATTTTCTTTGAAGCGTATGGCAATGAAAAGTAGACCCTAATGTGAAGGATACACACTAAGTGAGGCTACAAACATAAAAGTTGGAATGAAATCAAATAATTATGTTAAAGAACAGCTTAGTGACCCTCTGCTCCTGATCTGTAATATGCTGTGGTCAATATCTTTTCCTGTGTCAATGGGAGCTCATTAAGTGTAAATTCTGCAGACTAACTGAGCCATGCCATATTAGTGCTTGCCAAAGCTTGACATTTTTAATACATTAATAATATGTCTGTAATGTAATGGAAAACTATTAATCACAACTGGTTATGTGCCAGAAATTTAAGCTATAATTGGCTGCTTCTTGTCAAGAATGTCTGTTGCACAGTCCTGCAACTGCCTAATATTCAAATGTCTTGCACTCCTCTGCATTTTTCTCTTGTCAGTTTTCTAAATTCGATCAATGGTGTAGTCCATAATTCTGTGTAATGACCATCATTATAATTCTGGTGTACTTTATGAGAATTTGCTGCACTGGGATTGCTCTTGTGTCAGGAAATAGTCCCGGGTTCCCATACATTTCCTTAGTGACCAAATTTTTATCATAAATTTATATGGTCATCCTTCATTTTGTGATTCAGCTGAGGCAAAAAAGTGGATGAAGACAGTAGTGAAGAATAAGCACATTAGGGAGAATAATATTTATTGATTGAAATGTTATTAATCTCAGAGAATTCAAATATATACTTAAGGTCATATTTTAAAAATAATATTAAAAATTAGCTGTTGTGCTCACTCATTTTAAACTCAAAGCAGCTCATCTCAGGTCTTCAAGAGCATATGGTGCTGATTAGCATGTTGTTATGTATTTGAAACTAAGAATTTAAGTTAATAATTTCTGGTGTAGTAGATTTTATACTGCTTCAGTTATAATGCCTACTTTTCCCTCCCTTCCATTTCCGCCTCCATGAAAGTGTTTGTTCTTATTGTAATAAAGTAGTAAACGCAGTTGAAAAATGCATCTAGAAAATGCAAATTTGTATTATTTTAATACCTTTTCAGATTATTAATTGTCAAAATGTCAGCTGCTTCTGAAAATATCAACTAAAAATTAGTAATGAATCTGAAAAAAGCAGAAGGCTGTAGTAGCCACAACATTCTCTGTGATTTTTTTCTTTTTGGTTTAAGATTTCAAAATGTACTGAGCACAATATGGTCTTTACATTATAAGAAAGAGGCAGATTCAAATCTGTAGTTTATACATGTTTAGACAAACTGCTAATTATTGCTTCATAGGAACTCAAATATTCAACACTTTTCCTAATAGAAAATATCACAAATTGCAGCAGTATGATAACATTTTATGAATTGAATATAATGAAAATTGCACTTGCATCCATAAAGCAATTATTATAAATTACTTTGCTATGGAAACACAATTCAACCATCTGTTGGCATTTCATAGTCTCTGTGGCTTAGTTCATTTTAAGATGGTATATTATTTAAATATAGTAGATTCCTTCTATAAGATTGTGTGAGGACAGTGAACTTCCATATTTAAACTGCTTAGTGTGAATTGAAGGGTCTATACGGTACTTCCTAAAATTGTAGACTTTTTTGTCCTTTTACATTTTATTGGGACTGTGACAATATAAATCAGCTAATTAAGCAAATGCACTCTTCTTACACCTGGATTCCAAATATGATTGTTTAGATTTAGACAGTGATCTCTAAAGAGAAAAGTTGCCAGGTAAACTCACCAATGACTTGAACTCATAGTCTGTAGGCTGTATTATCAGTTAGCCAAAAGTACTTTTAAACAGTAATTTTTATTTTCTCTTAGAATTAGTGCCATATTATTCTGCTTCATGGCCTGTTAACTCACCCTCAGCTATTTTTATATGTGCATTTTAAATTGTGCGTTTTACTACAGAGCTTTTAGTTTTAAAGCAGTGTATTATATTTGCCTTTGGGACAAATTCCCTTCTTCTGTTACAGAGAGTAACTGCAAATGCAGATGTAGTGGCTATAAAAAGATGTAAGAAAATAGAAAATTCTTATGAAAGGAAAATTTGCTCCTTTGGTTTTATTTTTGAATATTTTTTTCAGAGAACCAAGTTATCTTTATCACTAAATGCAGCTAAACAAAAGCTGCTAAATTCTTCTAATATAATGAGCAAATCCAAAGGGACAGGCTTGTGCCAACAATGCTGGTTTTTCACTCCAGTTAACAAAAGCTAAGAAATGTACAAGGAATTTGTAGATTTTTAGGGTCTCTTTGCCAAGAGACAAAAGGCATAGAAGTAGTTGTCACTTCTTTGCCATTGTTATAAAAGCACTCATTTCCCCCATTGTTCCCCTGGAAGATTTTCCAGCACTGCAATATATGTAGAAATGTTTAAATCTAGCTGCTTGCTTTCAGTTTTGTCAAGATGGGAATATAATTTTTGAAGTGAAAACCTGCAAGTCACCTGGAACACAAACATCTGTCTTTGTTATGGAAGAGTTAAATCCTTCATATCAAAATTCTTCCTAATGTGAGTGATTTCTGTGGTTTGCTCATTCTAGCAAAGCAGCTGAGTAAAGGTTATCCATATTACACCAATTTGCTTCATATTGCATCTAACTTCCCAAATGTCAACATATCATATATTTTGTAATGCATTGATTGTGGGACAATAACTCTTATTCTTATTGTTTCTAAAAGGGTGTTGGTGCCAGAAGAGAAGAATGATTGATGGGAAGCAGACACCGAGCGATAGACACTCGTCCTTTTGTTTTAGCTACTGACACCTCAGTGCGCCTGAGCATCCCTTGTGAACTGTGAGCGTCAAGCACCCAGGGTTATTGGATGTACAATAGGAGAGCCATCATTTTGATAAATCATTATCTGCTACTGGACATCTTTTATGAAAAACCAAACTAGACCCAAGGCTAATAGATGCATTCTAGGACAATGAAAAAGCTGCAAGTTGTTGCTAATGCCTAGTACACAAGTATGCTAGGCTTCCACCGAAGTCCTCAATATACCTGATCATGTGCAATATATGAACCCTTCACTTTTAGTTTTGGAATCTACACTGAAGTTTCATCTTCTTTTTCTTTTTTTTTTCTTTTTTTAATATACAAACCTACCTACGTGTAGACATAGATAGGCTGCTTTAGTGACCACGAAGATTGCCAAGAATTTAGAGATGTATTTGTCAAGATTCCTGTCAATTCATGCCCTTTGGGTTACAGTGTCCTCCGTGATGCAGCCCTACCCTTTAGTGTGGGGGCATTATGATGTGTGTAAGACTCAGATTTATACAGAAGAAGGGAAAGTTTGGGATTACATGGCCTGTCAGCCGGAATCCACAGACATGACAAAATATCTGAAAGTGAAACTGGATCCTCCAGACATTACCTGTGGAGACCCTCCTGAGACATTCTGTGCAATGGTGAGACAACCTTTTTGAATTGCATATTTCATGTTAAGTGCTGGCATGTTGTATGTGCATACAAATGTGGTGAGTGTGAAAACTCAACTCAGGCAATGAGCAGAATCTGCAGGTGGCAGATTTGTGCTAACAGGCTAGTTGCATTCTCAGTGGAGGCCTGCGCCACCCAGAATTACACTTTGCACAGTGTGATTAACACACTTCCTGCGAACCAAAGGTTTCACTGAGACAAATGCACTGAATATAAATTATAAAGCAAAAAGTCCAGTTGAAGTTTAAATTTCAGAATGCAGATTGGGAATATGATTAGACCACATGTGATAGGTTAAGGATAAAATCCATTGGTAAGCCAACTTTAAAAACATAAAGGTTTCTTCATATGCTTCTTTAAATGAAGGCCAGTCCTGTGTTCTACAGTTCAAGGCTTGAGTAGATTTCATGGTTTTCCTCATCGGGAAACTGCTGTGGTTTGGAAATTCTTGGTTAGGAGACAGGAGCCAGAGCCTCATGAGAAGCTTTTCTGGAAGAGTCTTGTCAACTTATCCAGCCTCTTGTTTGTAAGGGTTATGGTTTTCCAAAGAAAAGGCTGGAATATTGAAAATGTTTCCTAAATAAGTAATGACATGGAGCATGAAAATTCAAATACTCTCCTTTTGATAATCAAAGTTAGATAATTCATTGTTTTCATAGTATAGAAAAGGCATTCTGGGTGGTAAGGTAAATGCTATGTGACACGTTGAATTTTTTACTAGAGACATTGCTGAAAATATACCCATAAGGTTTAAGTAAAGACTTTGATCATTAAAATGATGTAAATCAGTGTGCTAAAGAATTCAAACAGTATGTTCATTTGGTGTATGTTGTTTTATTATTATTATACGTAGGGTTTATTTGATACATGAACTGGGATCTCATTTTTCTCTATATAACAGATGTAATGGTATGGCAGATTTTAATAGTATCTTTACCTGACTTTATTATCTTGAACCTGGCCTGGCATTTTCAGGATAGTGAAACTATTAATCAAAGTAGCATCTGTTCACAGTCCCTAGTGAGTTAAATTAGCATAAGATCATCTTAGACCTAGCACTGCAGAAAAGGTTTTGTAACAGGAAACAATTTTGAGCACTAAAGAGTCTTTTCGCCTGAAAGCTAAGGGCTTGCCATTTTTCAGAAGTGCCTTTGGGGACTGGTTTGAATTATAGTCTAAACCTGATTTTGTGGAGAGTGAGAAAAAGAGCTTGGCTATTAGGTGTCACTATGACTAAAGTGCTCTGAAAGACTAAATATTTCAAAGAGAGGACCGTCTCTGGGAAGCAGGTATGTGCTTTGCAGAAAAGTTGCCTTTTAGAAACCAGAGACCTGCAGAAGAGGAGTTTATTCAAATATATTAGGAAAACTGTAATAAATCTGTAAAAGAGAGCAGAGGCATTTGTTGGCTTTATATAAGGTTTCTAATAATCTCTCATAAAAGGTAAAATTTAAAATCTTATTGCAAATCTAGGGGTGAAATGGCTGTTGAGGTGACAGGTGGTGCAATCTTCCAGTCCTTAGCAGAGGATAGTTCTGGGTCAAGTCTTAATATTATTAAGACACTCTATGTATTGGCTTGCATGCACTGCTAGCAATATGCCTCTTCTGGAATTGTTTAATAATTTACAGATCTAAGTAAAATAGCCTTTTTCAGAGTGCTGTTTGTACTTGCACAGGCTCTATATGATGTGCTCAACATGTGATTTGAACGTGCAGCTTCCCTGATGTCAGCCTCTGGCAAGAGGATGCTTGCTCAGCACTGCTCCTGTCCATCATGTTGAAGGATTTACCTGGTGTCTTCAGCATACCTCTCTCTCCCATCTTAAGTGGGAAAGGGTACATTATAGAACTTCTCATGCCTGCTTTTTACAGTTACATGGTCTAAGGTTCTTAAGCCAATTCCTAGCAGTTCAGTGGCTAAGTGATGTTAGAGTCAAAAGAGAAAAAATGAAAATGATATCCCTCAGCTTTCTCAAGTGCAGTAATATATGTACTTTACACATTTATATGAAACTCCATAGGACTGTGTTTTAAAATACTGCATGTTACTATGATGCAAATATTCAGAAGCCTTGGTGGGTTTAAGCTTGTCATTAAACAGAATTGTTTTTCAAGAGAGAGTGTGAGATTTGTGAGATGTTACCTATAATGCACACCTTGGACTCCTTAATATACATTTGATTGGCATGACAGATTTAATAATCTACCCTTTAAATACAAAGTTTGGGACTGCTTGTATGCATATTGTATACCAAGTCAAAGATAGTGACCTAATAGAGCAACACTTCCTCTCTCCAGTTTTGTATTTTCCATAAAATTCTTTAGTGTAAGGGTTCCTGACACAAGGCTGTAAAGCTGCTTCAGGATGCTGTCCTATCAGACCTGTTTGGGTGCTCCTTAGCCCGAGGTCTAATGGGAATCCATAAAGTCATTTGTGTTATGACTTTCACGTTCTCCCCTCCTTGACACGTGCCTCCATACCTGCTCCTTCAGAGTCGTTCCGGCCTATTACATCAGGGAAGCTGCCATATAAGCACAATCACTGCTTAGCCCTGATATGTAAATGTTTGCTGCAGAATGGTTTCAGTAATCACTTACTCGGCTAGTGACACCCTTATTAGCTGTGACTAGCAATTCTGAGCACCAAGGGGACATTTGGTCAGAGAAATACCCTATAATTCCCATAGCCAATTTATCTTATATAAAGGTGAATTTTATTGGCAGTGCACTAAGAGTCTGTACTCTGCTTTTTGCATCACCTCCATCATTATATGCCAGTGACCATCCATGAATGCTGCATTTACTTTAGAGTGAGATTTTAGAGAACACAGACCACATGATTCCATTTAGATCTCTGCTTATTAACCTAGGCAACCTGCTTAATACCTCTTTAATGTCCCAGTAATTTTAAGTTTTTGTATAGTAATAGTACCAGCATTTTAAATATTAGTTTTTTGGGAGATTTTGCCATTTCTGTTTTATGATAGTAGAATGGGGAATAGAAATAGATATACACATATACATGTATATGCATGAATTTTGTATATTGAGGCCTTACATTTTCTTTTTAGTTTAGTTTGATATATTCCTTGTAAGTTGTTGATGGCTTAAAAAAATTCTGTTTTTGTTAAGGGGGAAGAATATGAAGGGTAGAAGAGAGCTAAGCATTTAAAAACATTTTTTTTAGGCTGCGATAACATTAGTGTAGATTGTGTCCTTCCTTCAGCTGCATAAAAGCTTCAGGTAGCACAGCTTTGTCAGAACATAGAGATCATCGAATGAATACAGTTTGTTTCAGTTTGCATAAAGAGCAAATCTGATGACCTGAACCTGGGTGTAAAGCTATGATTTGTCCTTTGTGTTTAGACAAACTTAGTTGTCATATCTTCATGCAACACCCCAGTAGCTTAAAAATAGCAAAATTATCTGCCATTATCTCCAGTCTGTGGCTGATTTTCTGGGTAAGTTAAACAGAAGCTTTCAGAAGAAGCCTACAGATGGAAGAAGTCATAGGCGTTTATACAATTTATGACACATAAGTGCTGATGATGGTAGAAATGTGAGCCCTTGAGTGCAGCTATGGATTTCAGAACCAATCAAAACTAAATTAGGAAACAAAGATTATTAAAATGTCTTCTGTGCATGTAATTTTGGCATAATATTATGAGGTGGACATTAAATGCTTCCCTTGGAGACCTTCGGCATCATTAATGCAGCATGCCTTTAATTACATGTAGACTCATATTACTAAAAAATGGAGAAAATAAAGTACTCTGAGGTGTAGTTAGCAATACCCTCATTATGTTTACTGAAATAATTAAAAGAAATGGTATAGTTTTTCTAAATAAAATGTCAGAATTTGAAATGAAAATGGATTTTCTTTAGGAAATTTACTAATGTGTGCCTGTGCTCTTGATAGGCATTTATTCAGGCACCAAAGCAGATCTATTAATGATCATTCCATATTGTGCTATTTCCAAATGGACTCCTATTAAGAAAAAAATTTTAATTACTGTAAGCATTGTGGATAGAGCATATTTCATTATGTTCAAATGGAATTTAAAAAGTAGTACAAAAGTCTTCCTGTTTTATTATTTTAAAGGAACCCAGCAGGATGAGTGAGTGGTGATGGATGCATAGTCTCAGGGCTACCCACAACTTACATTTCTGATTTCACATCAGCTCAGGTTGCCATCTGGTGGCTTTCAGGTGGCCTTTGAGAAATTAATTTGATAAATTTAGTTATGTTTTTAATGACAAGGCATTAATACCAATTTTCCAAAAACTGGAAATGACATTGACTTATATAATAATCAAATAATCTTAAAAATTCACTCTGTTCACATGAAACATAATTTAATAAATGAATGAAGTTTTAATAACAGTGACATCTTTCATTTGAATTGATTTATCCCTGAATTATGCCAGAATGAAATTTTAAAAAATCTTCAGTTCCTTCATTATTAACACTTCATTGTTTAGTTCATTATTTAGACTTATTTCTAAGAAAAACTTTATTTATGTTTGCAGTGAGTAGGGTTCCATGGAGATCGGTCTTCTGATATAGCACTATATCAAGTATTCCCTTGTTAAGGAGCCAGCAGTAGCTCCCTATTATCTATGTATCAAGTCTAAAGTACTGTACATGGTTTTTAAATCTGAGTGTTTACAACCTTATTTCCAATTACTTTCCATCAGGACCCAATGGCATTTCCAAGCGATTTAGGACTGGCAGTCTCATTGGAAGGGACACTGGATTTGGGTTGAGGCTGCATTAGCATAGCATGCATGGTTTATGTGGGAGGCCTTGAGAGGGAGCTGATAAAGATTATGTGGGGCTAGCTAAACTTAAAACCTGCCTTGTGTCATTTATTGTTCCCAGACAGTGTTCTCTGTGTCCTGAAATGCCCTTGCCTCTGTTGGACTAATGCACAAATACAACTCCAGGCTACTGTATGTGGAATAAA